CAGAGCTTCAAGCTGTCCCCCTGGGTAGAGTACCGTGACATTACAGCTCACAGCAATCTCCAACTCCTGGGCTCAAGCGATTCTCTTGCCTCAGACTCCCAAGTAGCTGGGACTACAGGTGCCCACCACAATGCCCGACTATTTTTTCGTTGTAGTTGTCATTGTTATTTGGCAGGCCCGGGCTGGATTCGAACTTGCCAGCTCAGGTGTATGTGGCTGACGCCTTAGCCGCTTGAGCCACAAGTGCTGAGTCCCTTATTCTTTTTATTTAGGTACTGCCAATGTCAATATAGCCAAGATATATCATTGAGTAAAAAATTTTAAAAGGCACATAATAGCAAATACAATATGATTTTATTTAGAAGTAATTTTTTTGCCAATTTATAGAATATAGTTTGTAATTATGTATACCAAACTTAAAATAGTAATTACCTCTGGGGATGAGGAGGAAACATTTCATTTCTACTTTACTGACATTTTTAGTGTATGTGTATGTATATATATATAGTTTTAATGAGTTTTAAATTAGATCTTAAAGAAATGTAAAATAGGCTTGGACTGCGTAGCACGGTAGTTATGGCGCCAGCCACATACACCAAGGCTGGTGGGCTGGAATCCAGCCCGGGCCAGCTAAACAATGACAACTGCAACAATGACAAAAAAAATAGCCAGGCGTTGTGGCTGGTGCCTGTAGTCCTAACTACTTGGGAGGCTAAGGCAAGAGAATCGCTTAAGCCCAAGAGTTGGAGGTTGCTGTGAGCTATGACACCATGGGACTCTACCAAGGGCAAAACAGTGAGACTCTGTATCAAAAAAAAAAAAAAAAAAAAGAACGAGGTATAGATTCTTTTATCAGGAATAAAGACCATAATATCAGAAAAAAATTATTTCCTATTCACCTTCTCATAAAGAAATCTGCCAAAATAGGAGAATCAAGAAGGAGGAAGACACAGGATGCAGAAAACATGATGTTCAATACAATACAATTTTTACACACACAGGACTCCCTTCACTTTAAGAAACAATGGTTATGTACCTTAAAGCCTTTCCAGACTGACTTCAAAAAACTATGTGTGTACTGTTTTGGTTACAAAGAAGTATTGAAAGAGACCTAAGCTAAAATCATTCAAAGCAAGACTTTGTCTCAAAAAAAGAAAAAAAAAGTCTTTTCTAAAAGTAATTTTACTATCTTACAAAAATTTCTACTTTTGACTCAAAATTAAGAGCATACTTGGCT